AGACCCCCGCGTGGGGTCTCACCTGCTCCGAATTGTCCAAGGAGCCCCCCGGCTTCCCAATGCACTTCCGGAAACACTTGTCGGTCATCCTCTGTGGACACACGGGAGCCCTCAGTCGCGACGCCACCCCGGGGCACCCCCAACCCCGGCCCCCGCGGGCCCCGCACCTGAAGCAGCTCCTGCGCGTTGGCCACGGCAATCTGCACCTTCACCTGCTCCATGATGAGCCCCGGGTCCAGCTTCCCGCCGCCGGAGCCCCCGAAATCCGAGCCGAAGCCGCTCTCCATGGCTTCGCAGTCCACCCGGCCGCTGCCGCGCGCGCCGACCCACAGTCGCCGGAAGCCGGGCCGCCCAGGGCACCACGGGAAACGGAGCCCGCACCCTAACTCCCACAAGGCCGCGCGGATCCCTACGCGCACGCGCACGCGCCGGGGCCTAAGTCCCGGCGTCGCTCCGCGTCCAGGCCCCGCCCCGGCCCGCCGCGCGTGCGCACCGCGCGGTGGGCGTAAGCCGATTCCCGGGGTCCGAGCGGGAACCTGTCTACCAACGCCAAAGAGGTCTGCGCGGCGGGCGGAGTCGCGACGGACGCTCGCCTCGGTGGGCCCGACTCTGCGCTGGTTAAAACCAGTGTTTATTGGAGAATCGTACAAAACTCACTGGTCACAAAATGTGCGTCGCAAACTAGTGGAAGGGGACAGCAAAGCGCACATCCGACACGCAGCTCAAAACCCAGCCACGCACGCCAAAGGGCCCGCGTCTCCCGGAGTCCAGAGTAGACGAGGGGGATCACGCGCCAGCCGGCGGGGCAAGCTGTCTCCCAAGAGTGGTGGCCAGGTCCTGAGCTACAGACCACCTCCTGTTGGCCCCGGGTGGGCACTTGGCCAGTCACGCACCTGGGCTCCAGGAGCCCAGGACTCTACCTTGCGCCCACCCCTTCGGGCGGCTGGCTCCAGCGGGCGGCCCTGGCAGGGCAGGCAGTGGTGCCGAGCATGGACAGCAGCCTGCCCTGCCTGGACCTTGCGAGGAACTGTCAGTAAGTGGTCACCACGTGTGTGGCCAGAGGCTTCTGAAAACAGGGCAGCTGGACGGCTCAGGAGCAGCACTGGTGCTCTCCCTGCCTGGGGCTCAGTTCCCAAGGGCAGCCAGAGCCAATGACCAAAGAAGCACCACCCCTGTCCAGACTGCAGGGCAGGGCTGTTTTGTGTCCGACCGCTGCTTTCTGGGGACAGCGCATGAACGTGGCTCAGCATCAGTGCCTGAACTCCAGCTGCACTTTCCGAGGGAGATCAGCCATGTGAAGGACTGGGTGCTCATGGAGATAGGTCCCCCACCCCATGCCATCCCTGGGAGGATGACCTATCTGCCTGTCCTGGTGGCCCTGGCAACCTGCCTACTCACAAATGTAAAAATAAATATCCATTAAAAAAATAACATGTGCCTATGAGGGAGTAGGTGAGTGTGACTGTAGAAGGGGCTGCTGGGTGGGCAGAAGCCAGGCGTGGGCCATGGAGACAGGACTCCATTTTCATCTGCATGTCTGAGAAACATTTTGCACGGATGTGTGCACATGGGAGGCAGCAGGGGCCTCTTCCCCAGTCTCCGGCCAGGATGGAGACCCATGCTCCACTGGGAGGGCTGGGAATCAGCTGTCATGCACTCAGCTTTCTAACACTCATGACCTTTGCTCCCGAGGTCAGCAGTGTCCCCTTCTGAGCAGTGTTGACCAGTCTTGGGAGCCTCCTCCTTTCCTGCCCTGCTAGCCCTGCAGGATCAGGGTGGCAACTGGAAAGCTTCAGAACTGAGGCCCAGAAAGCCAGGTCAGAGTCCCAGCCTGCTGCCCACAACAGGACGGAGGCCAGACCAGCCCTGCAGGCCCTGGCTATGCCAGAATGCGGCCCCAGCCCCTGCTTCAACGCACTCAACGCAAGGATGGCTTCCGGGTGGCTGAAGTGGAACCACCAAATCTTGATGTGACAGTGACAGTGCCCCCCCAACCAGGTCACAACCCAGATTCTGAATTTGGTTTTTAAAAAGCGTTCAAGGAATCCTATAGCTATAGAATCCCTACAGTTTCACATTCTGTCCACCTCGAGCCCCCAGGGGTGGTTTCTGTCCCTCCTCAGGCCAGGTCCGCCACTGAGGCAGAGGCGGCCGTCCACAGCACCCAGGCCCAGCCCCTCGGCCTTCAGGGTCCCCGGGGGTGGAAGGCAGTGGAATGGGGAGGGTGGGAGTCTGAAGCGGCAAGGTGTGCCCAGGTGAGGTCAAGGCCACGCTGACCCACGTGAGTTGGCAGTTTGCTTAAAAATCAGCTACAAACAGACCAAAGACTAACGAAAGCCAATGATAGAAAAATAGTTTTCAGTGGCTCTGGGTGAAGAACAGTGTGTAGATGCCGAGTGCTCAGTTACATCAGGCAGCAGCCCCTCGAGGTGGTCCGTGGGTCCCCCTGGGAGGAAGGAAGCAAGGATGGCAGTCATGAGGCCCAGCCCGGGAGGCGGGCCTGGCTGGGCGACCCAAGGAGGGGGGTGTGGTACCGGTCCCTATTTCTAGAACCTTCTATCCCTCCACTACCCTGAGCTACACGAGCACTAAACTTGGCTGCGACTCTGGTGCCAGGCATTCTGCAGGCAACTGGCACCTGAGCCAGGGGGAGTGAGACACCCCATGTCTTGGGGACCCCACAGCCAGCTGCCCTGATGTCACAGAATTTGCACAGCGGGAAGGAGGCAAGCAGACCACCCCAGCCCTGCCTGGGTGGCTGCACACCAAGGGATGGCGGGATCCGGGCCCTGCAGCCCAGCAAGCATGTGAGCGCACGCATGCGTGTACCCAGGTGCTCTGCCCAGGCGGCAGGTGGGCACAGGGTCACTACCTGCTGGTGGAAAAGATCCTCCTCGCCAAACTCGGCTTCCTCTTCCTCTTCCTCCCCGTTCTCGTTCTCCCGCACCACAGAAGACTGCTTCACTGCTCTTGTGGCCACTTCCTGCACCAGATGAGGACCACCGACACTCAACACTGAGGCCGGAGTGTCCCGTGTGACAGGGTCACTGCTGGGCTGCAGCCTCTGTGCCGCGGGTATGGCCCCGGGCTCCACCCCAGGACTGTGGCACGTGGAGGGCAGGTGTGGGGACGCGCGGTGCACCCCACCAAGGCTCACACCCACCTCTCCGTCGGCGCTGACCAGCACAGTGCGGAAACTCTCGCCCGAGCCCCAGCTGCTCTGGCTCTTCCACACCAGGGTTGCGGGGGGGCTGTGGGCCACCCCTGCACCAGCTGCCCACACCTGTCAACCCAAGAACGCCCCGCTCAGCCTTCTGGATGTGGATGTGGACAGCACCTGGTGCCCAGCCGGAGGCCCTTCAGTGCCCGAGCACTGCAGCCTCACTCGGGCTTGCTCATGGATGGCGGCCCCCAGGATGCAGACGCCACCCGGGCTCACGGCAGCTGGGCAGTCAGTTGAGTGGACCTAAGGTCCTCCGTGGCCACAACTGCCACTTCTCACCAGTGCCCACCAGCCCAAACAGCCAGGACTCAGCCCTGGCACCTCTCCACGACCCACAGCTGACCCTGGGGCAGAGCTGGACCCTGTGGCACCCAGCTGAGGCCCCTGCCAGCCTCCCACCTGCCCCTCCCTGATGCACCTACCGTGACTGTCTGGCCGGCCCGCAGGACGTACTTGGGTGTGAACTTATAGGCGATCTCGTCGCCCTCGAGGACCTGCCTCTTGATCCTCCAGTTCCCCAGGGACTGATCCTGGAAGGGGCACACACACAGGTGACCCGCAGGCCACCAGTACGCGGCACCGGGCTGTGCCCTGCCCAGCAGCTCACCTTGTCCGAGTTGTTCTTGAGCCGCACGAACCTGCCCTCCAGGTCAATCTCCTCGATGCTGACGCTGCCGGTGGCCGAGGCCTGCTGGGCCAGGCGGAAGCTGCTGCTGCTGCCTGAGCCAATGGCACTTGAGCCGCTGCCTGGGGGCTCCTCCGCCTCCAGACGCCGGCGCTTGCTTCGGCTTGAACGCCCAGCTGTGGACATGCTGCTGCTGCTGCTCGAGGTGGCCCGTGAGATGGTGACCCGTGAGGATGGGCTGGGAGACAGCTTCAGCCTAAGGGTAGTGTGGAGAGGTATGACTGGTGGCCCCGAAAACGCCAGGCCCAGTATCCACGACCGCCCTGCTCCTGCCACCCACCTCTCCTCCTCGCCCTCTAGGAGCTTGCGGTAGGCGCTGATCTCCATGTCCAAGGTCAACTTGACGTCCAGCAACTCCTGGTACTCGGCCAGCTGTTGCTGCATCACATCACGCATCTCCATCATCTCCTGCTCCTTAGCGTCCAGCATCTTCCGGAACTTCTCCCGCTCCCCAGTCATGGCCCCTTCCAGCTCTCGGATGCGGTCCTCAGCAGCACTGGCCTGGGAGGGGCAGGTGGCCAGGTCAGCCCAGCCTCTTCTGGGGCTGCCCCTGGTGGGACAGCAGGCGAGCAGGCCCCTCAGCACAGTGAGGACAGAGGCTGGGCTGTTGAACAGGCTCCGGAGAGCTGGCCCGGTCAGCGCTCAGCGCTCAGGGCTGCCCCCGCCCAGCCCGGACCCAAGGCCGGACACGGGCCTCACCTGCTTCTGGAGGCTGGAGAGCTGGTAGCTGAGGGACTCGACCCGCATGCGGGCCTCCTTCAGCTCCTCACGGGCAGCGCTGGCCGCCTTGTCATTCTGGTCGGAGCTCAGCTTGGCGTGGTCCAGCTAGGAGAGACGGGGAGGTGGGGCCAGGGGCGGGGGAGCCTGGGAGGTGAGGCTGGGGATGGGGAGACGGGGAGGGGGCCGGCCGCACCTTGGCCTGGTAGGTCTGCTCCAGCTCCAGGCGGTAGAGCCGCACGTGCTCGTCCTGCTGGCTGCGCAGCTCCTCCAGGGCCTGCGCCAGGCGCACATCGTACTCCTGCTGCCGGCCGCTGTCCACCTCCACCAGGCGCCGCTCGTGCCGCCGGCGCGTCTCCCGCACCTCCTGCGTGGCGACAAAGCCCGCGGTCCTGCAGCACTGTGGCTCTGAGGTGGCCACCGAGAGCCCAGGAGGAAGGCAGGGGCCCCCTGTCCCATACCCCAAGCGCAAAGCCTGGGTGCTTAGCAGTGACTCTCTCAAGTCCAAGGGCAGACCCTGGCTCAAAGTGAGTGAAAACTGAGCTGGGGGTGCGGCTCGTGATGGACTCCCCAGTGGCCCCGTCTCTGTCTCACACCGAACCTCAGAAGCTCCAGGCGTCTCCCTGCTACTTGTTCACAAATGTTCACAGGAGCAGCCCTGCTGACCACCAAAGAGTGGACGCAGCCCAAATGGGCCTGGGTGGATGAAGGAACACGGTGTGGCCATCCACCTGGAGCGTCACTCAGCCACAAGCAGGAGCCAGGTGACACGGCTGCACTGCACATGGGCTGAGGACCTGGTGCCGAGAGCCCGACAGACAAGTGACAGAGTCAGAGCCGGATGTGGACTCCTAGGCGCTGGGCTACGAGGGATGGGGGATGCTCATGGTCTGGGCTTCCTTTTGGACTGATGGAATGTTCTGGAATTAATGGGAAGAATTGATTCTAAAAACACTTAATTCTACACTTCTAAAAAAGGTGAACTTTATATCACACGGGGATCACTTCTCTTTAAAGTCGCTCTTTGACTGTAAAACAGATGGTCGGGCTGGGGCTCAGCGGTAAGGAGCTTGCCTAGCACACGAGGCCTGACGAGGATCTCAGCCCTGCAGAAAGACTCAAAAGACATGGCCATCGATGGCTGCGGGCAAAGGACACGGCTGCGACTGCGGGGTGGAGGGGGGGGGCCCAGAGCCACGCCCGCATCCCGGTGCCTCGGAGGCTGAGGCAGGGGATGCAAGTTCAAGGCCATCTTGAGCAACTTCGTGAGACCCGGCTGGGGAATGGCCTGGGTGAGTGCCTGGGTCCAGTCCCCAGGACCCCCCAACACACAAAAAGACCACGAATGGCTCGAGCCAGAGGCCTGGGCCTCGACAGAGGCTGGGAGGCATCTTCGCTGGCCACACCAGGAGACCTGCCCGGGCCCAGAGTCGGAGCCCTGGCGGCTGGCGGCCTAGAGGGACCTTCTGAGGGTGGCCGGGCAGACACCCACCTGCACCCGGTGTGCCCGCTCCTTGGCGCCCCTCCTGCGGGGGCCCTTCCCGGGTGCCTGCGCGGCTCCCCTGCGCGGCGTCTCCCCAGGTCTCTTCGCGGCTCCCCTAGGGGGTCTCTTCGTGGGTCCCCTCACAGGTCCTCCCACAGGTCCCCATCCGAGTTTACTCAAGGACGCCTTCACAGGTCTCCTCAGCGGATCCCTCAAGGGGATCTTCCCCAGTCCCCTCAGGAATCTCTTCACTGCTTCCCTCAGAGGTCTCTTCACGGGTCCCCTTAAGACCTCGGGGTCCCTCATGGCTTTCTTCACGGGTCCCCTCACGGGCTCGGGGTCCCTCATGGCTTTCTTCATGGGTCCCCTTAAGAGCTCGGGGTCCCTCATGGCTTTCTTCACCCTTAAGACCTCGGGGTCCCTCATGGCTTTCTTCACGCGTCCCCTCACGGGTTCAGGTTCCTTAAGGGGTTCCCTTGCAGGATCTCTCACAGCCTCAGGGTCCCTGATGGATTCCTCCACGGGTCCCCTCACAGCCTCAGGCTCCCTGATGGATTCCTCCACGGGTCCCTTCACGGGCTCAGGGTCCCTCATGGATTCCTTCGCGGGTCCCCTCTCGGGCTCAGGGTCCCTCATGGATTCCTTCGCGGGTCCCCTCTCGGGCTCAGGGTCCCTCATGGATTCCTTCGCGGGTCCCCTCTCAGGCTCAGGGTCCCTCATGGATTCCTTCGCGGGTCCCCTCTCAGGCTCAGGGTCCCTCATGGATTCCTTCGTGGGTCCCCTCTCAGGCTCAGGGTCCCTCATGGATTCCTTCGCGGGTCCCCTCACAGGTGCCTTGAAGGGTTCCTGCAGGGATGTGGGTCCTCCCTCAGGTCCCCTCCTGGGCGTCTTGAGGAGCCCAGGCTCCCTCGTGGCTCTCTTCACAGATCCCCGAACGGGGCTGCCTCCCACGCAGGCCTGCGTGGTGACTGGTACCCTCGCTGGGCCTGTCCGGAGCCGGGCACGGTCCCTCAGCTGCACAGGCATCCCTTCCTCTGGCAGGCCTTCCCGGCAGTGACCACCAAGTGGCCCCGCCCGGCCCAGCCCAGCCCAAGGATTTCATGGGCTGTGACAATACAGTGGGCTCTGTGAAGGTGGCGTCTGCAGAATCCGAGGGGGCCAGGCCCTGCACCCCGGCCCCACCCCAGAGGACACAGGAGCCTGGCTGATCTGCCTGAGGTCCCCTGTCCCCAGTGTCCTAAGAAGCCAGGAACCCTGTTAGGAGGTGGTGGGGAGGGAGCAGGTGGCTGGGCGGGGAGAGGGGTCCTGGGGTGGGTGAATGGTGGCCCCCAAAAGATGTGTGTGCGTTCCGACCCCCAGAGCCTGCGCCGTGCCTTGGGTGGCAACAGTATTTGTGCAAGACCCAGGCAGCAGGCGGGTTCTGGATCACTCGGGGCCTCAGTCCAACGACAGTGTCCTTACAGAGCGAGGCCGAGGCCGAGGTGGAGGTGGCGGCGGCGGCAGCCCAGGGCGCGGGCGGACTCACCTCCTCGAACACGCTCTTCTGGAAGTCGAGCTCCTCCTGCAGGCTCTGGCAGCGGTTCTCCAGGTCCACGCGCATCAGCGTCTCCTTCTCCAGCTGCTTTTTAGCCACAGCATGACCGTCCTCGGCCTGGGACAGAGTGGCAGCTGAGGACGTGCTGCTCACGCCTCCCGCGGAGCCCCGGCCCCAGGAGCTGGGCCTACCTTGGCCAGCTGGGCCCGGAGCTCGGCCGCGTCGCTCTCCAGGCTGCGCTTGTCACTGAGGGCGGTGGCCAGCTCCACCTCGCTCCGGTGGAACAGGGACTCCAGGTCCTTCACGCGGCCCTGGGCCACGGAGAGCTCGCCTTCCCTCTTGCTGGCACTGCAGGTCAAGAGGCCAGGTGAGCCAGGGGACAGCGTGGCCACGCAGTCACAGGGGACCTGGCCCTGGCCTCACCCCCACGGGGACACGCCGTGCCTCTCAGGGCTGTGGCGGGCAGGCCATGCAGAGCGGCCCCCACCACTGGAAGCAGTGGCACCAGTGTCCTTTCCTGGGAGTTCTGGGCTGAACGGGGAGTTCACAGGAACAGGGGGTCTTGCCGGCGCCTGCCCGGCTTGGACATCAGGCAGCGAACACCAGACCTCAGACACGGGAGCGCCTGTGGCTTCTGAGGGCTCTGGGGACATCCTGGCTGCGCACGGCTGTGGGGAGGAGCCACTCTCACACCGCGAGCCACCCGGGACCCCTCCTGGGGTCTCTGCTCAGAGGCCACGGGAAGCCACACTAGGAGGGAGGCCGGCCCTGGGGACGGTGGGGCTGGGCCACGACTGTTTCTGGTAGAAGAGGTTGGCCTGCAGGATGGAGCCGGGCCAGGTGGCCAGGAGCAGAGGAGTCGGGTCTGCAAGGGCAGGTCCCGCAGGCCACTGCAGAGAGCAGGGTTCTGGCCATGGCAGCAGCCCCTCCTCTGAACACCAAGGGGCTGACGCAGCTCCAACCAGGTGCAAGAGCTCCCTGGGGCCACCAGGAGCCGGGCCCACTGGTGGGGTCCTCCGTGAGGCCACCTGCCTTTGTCACCATGGATCTTTGGCAACTGATTTGTTAGCAGAAGAAAAACACCAGACCCAACCTGTTAGGAAGGTGACTGAGTTTGGGGACAGTGACCAGATGAGTCAGAGAACCTCGTGAGCACTGAAGGAAGCTGGGCGCGAAGCTTGAGGAAACTGCGTCAGGGAAGGGACACCCAGGTCAGAGGTCAGAAGTCGGCCCAGGGTATTTACTATTTGAAAGCAATTTTTTCCTCCAAATTAAGGTGAACTCCACATACTATAAAACTCAGTGTTGCTGCTGCAGTGCTGGGGACAGAACCTAGGGCCTCACGCACACCAGGCAAGGGCTCTGTCACTGGGCAGCACCCTGGGCCAAGACTAGCGGTTGGAGCGGACAGTCCGGGGGCCATGGGGTGGCTCCTGGGTGGTGCAGACCCCTCCAGTGTGCACCACGCAGCCCCTAGTTCCCCGAGTGCCCAGGACAGAACCAGGCCTGCGCGGCTGGGAAGGTGTCTCCCTCAGCCACACCCAGTCCTTTTATCTCAGGGGCTGGCCTAGACCTTGTGACCCTCCAGCCTCAGCCTCCTGAGTGGCTGGGATGACAGGCCTGGCCACTGCACCTGGCTCAAACCTGCTTATTAACCACAAAGCAGGCTCCCTGGAGGTGGCAGCTTGATGGCCACCCAGTGTCCACCTGGGGTCAGCTGCCAGCTAAGGGACGGGTGGGATACCAAATGGAACGTGCAAGGTCCAGGTGATCTGTCCTTGCTCATGCCTGAACTCTGGCTCGTGGTCACTGGGAGGACTCAGACAGTCCCTTGGAGCCCTGGGTCCTGGGCAGGAGGGTGAGGGGTGCCTGGGCCAACCTGGAAGGTGACCTCTCCTGGCAAAGGGACACCAGGAGGAGTAGGACTCCCACACACACCACTTACGGGGCCCAGGCACCACTGGCCATGAGGCCCCCGGTGACTACTTGGGCTACAGTTCAACCTGGACATAACACGGGCTCTCAGGCCACTAGCAGCACTTTTCTTCTTCAGGCCACCAGCAGCCTATCCCCAAACCAGGTGGCTGAGTTACCACCAATTCTGGGGACACCCAGATGAGCAACTCCCTCCAGGAGGCCACATGACCCTCCTACCAGCAGGGTGCGGCAGAAGTCCACAGGTGCCCCTGAAGCTGAACCAGGCCTGGGGCAAAGCAGGAGGGCAGGGCCGCAGCTCTGGGGGGAGCGCTCTGGGGGGGAGCGCTCTGCGGGGAGCAGCACTCTGGGGGGAGGAGCACTCTGGGGGGAGCACTCTGGGGAGGAGCACTCTGGGGGGAGCAGCTCTGGGGGGGAGCAGCTGTGGGGAGGAGCACTCTGGGGGGGAGCGCTCTGCGGGGAGCAGCACTCTGGGGGGAGGAGCACTCTGGGAGGAGCACTCTGGGGGGAGCACTCTGGGGAGGAGCACTCTGGGGAGGAGCAGCTCTGGGGGGGAGCGCTCTGGGGGGGAGCGCTCTGCGGGGAGCAGCACTCTGGGGGGAGGAGCACTCTGGGGGGAGCAGCTCTGGGGGGGGAGCGCTCTGGGGGGGAGCGCTCTGCGGGGAGCAGCACTCTGGGGGAAGGAGCACTCTGGGAGGAGCACTCTGGGGGGAGCACTCTGGGGAGGAGCACTCTGGGGGAGCAGCTCTGGGGGGGAGCAGCTGTGGGGAGGAGCACTCTGGGGGGAGCCGCTCTGGGGGGAGCACTCTGGGGAGGAGCAGCGGGGGAGACGCCCCACAGGCTCCTGCTCAGAGCACTTGGGACCTGTGGGTGGTGACGCAGAAATGCCTGCAGAGCCCAACTCCAGTAAGAGCTGTCAACTGAGGGAAGTCAAGCCCCCCCACCCAAAAGCCCAGGGTCACAGCCCGAGGCTAACAGGACCTCGTGACACAGGGCCTGCCCAAGGGGCAGGGCAGGAAGGCACATGGCGCAAGGCCCTCACTACTGTCCTTGCGTGTCCCTGGTTTAAGTGAGGGTGTGCACAGCGTGTCACCTGTGTGAACACCAGGAAAGACCAGGTCGCCTCAGCCCCTCTCCAGCTTCAGCCGCCCAGTCACCCGCTAGTGTCCAGGCCACACGGCCAGCCCCTGGCCCTCCTACCTCTTGTGCACCTCTTCCAGCTCTGCGCTCAGCTTGCCCATCTCGATCTGCAGCCGGGCACGCTCCCGGGCAGTCTCGTCCAGGGCCCTGCGGGCGTCCGCCAGCTCCGACTCGTACAGCGCCTTAATGCCGCTCACCTGCGAGACAGCGCACGGTGTGGGGAGCGCAGCGCCGCGCCCAGACACTCAGCTGCCCCAGGCGCAGCACACCTGGCAAGACAGTGGCGGCCAGGGTGCTGCCCCACATCACCCGGCTCACACGGGACACAGTGCCCTGTCGGGTCAGCAAGGGGCAGACTCTCCAGCAGGAAAGCTGAACAGCTAGGGCCCAGGAGCCCCCCCACTGTGACCCCTTCTGGAATGATCTTTCTCCCCTCCCACACCCCAGCTCAAGGGACAGGTGGCGCCCAGAGACCCTGGACTCACCTATGCCCGGAGCACCACATGCCCAGAGGGAACCTGACCCACAGGAAAACAGGCCTCAGCCGGCCTCCTGGGACAGCAAGGACCAACCACCTCTGGATACTCGAGCCCCTGGGCAGCAGTCATGGCCACGTCACATACATTTTTCACATTCTCAGCTTCCAAAATCCAAGAATTGGGGGAACACATGAGCAAGGGTCTCCCCTGGGCACTGTGGACAAGGGCCCAGGTCATTCTCTGAGGTGCCGTCCTGGGCACTGCAGGGTGCTGAGCAGTGTCCCTGGCCTTCGTCCACTCCATGCCAGTAACTCCCCAACCATGAAAGCCACCAGCGTCCCCAAACCTGGTCCTGGGTCCCACTGCCCGAGCTCGGCACCACTGGTCTGACACCACACTGCCTCTTCTCCAGAAGTACCTGGCCACAAAGCCACTCTGGCTGCTTTGTGGGGCCTGTGTCCCTCCACACGGGGGGACATGGGCCCTGTTAAGGTCTGGACGTGAGGGGTCCCCCAAAGCTCACGTGAGACCGTGCTAGAAGGTTCAGAGGGGACACAATGGGTCATGAGTCCCTTTCCCCATCAGTGTTCTCACCCCAACTGGGTGACCTGGGTGACCTGGAGGCAGGGTGAGGCCGAGGAAGGGGTGACCTGGGTGACCTGGAGGCAGGGTGAGGCCGAGGAAGGGGTGACCTGGGTGACCTGGAGGCAGGTTGAGGCTGAGGGGGCCCGGGATGACCTGGGTGGGGTCCCGGGTGCGCCCTTGGGGTGCATGTCTATCTGGAGAGTGGAGTCTCAGGCCTCCTGGTCAGCACCGAGCCGCGTCCCTCCCCACACTCCCCCGTCCACCCAGGGACAGCGCCTGTCTGTGGACTGAGACCTGTGAAGTCCCGAGCCGGGAGTCCCCTTCCCTCCTCTCAGGGTGCCAGCCTTTCGGCCGCAGCAGCACAAAAGCTGACAAGACAGGCCCCCTCTGGAGGCAGCGGGCTGCCTCCCTCCCGTGGCTACGCTGGTGTCCTCAGGCTGGGGTCCTGGCTGGGCACTGGCCCTGCCTTCACTGTGCCCTGGGACCAGAGAGCTCTCCATAGACAAGCACAGGCCACCAGCAGGCCAGGGAGGAGCAGGGTTCCTCCAGCCTGAGCCAGCCGCTGGGGACACCCGCTGGTGGCTGGAGCCAGGCCACCCGTGCCATCCCTAGAGGGGGCCTGCGGGGACACTGGGTACACAGGCTTCTGCAGGCAGCCACCTGAGTCCCGTCAGCCCGCTGGGCCACAGCCAGCCCACACCTGGCTGCCCCACATGTGGCTTGTCCGTCCCAGCCCTGTGTGCCCGGGGAGCAGAACTGGCTGCCTGCGGGCCCTCGTGCCCTGTCCCCTGCTGCACACGCGAAGCTACGCGCTAATGTTCCGAAGTATGTGAGCCCGACCGCAGCGAGCTCCGCCTCACACCCGCTGGCCGTCAGTCACGAAGACTGACAGCCACAGGTGAGGCACGGGCCAGCTCAGCCACCGTGGGACACAGGCTGGGGCCTCCTCCCCGGGAAGCCAGGGAGCCCCCGACCCAGCAGCCCCCTGCACCCCTTGAGGGTGCACCTCCCAAGGGAGAGCACCCGCCAGGAGACCCCCTCAAGTGCTCGCTGGGCAGCTCTCACAACCACCAGAGCCTGAAGCCCAGGCGTCACTGACAGAAGGGCAGATGGCCCGTACACCTGGAGCGTCCCTCGGCCACAGGCAGGAGCAAAGTGACAAAGCTGCAGCATGGCTGGACCTGAGGACCTGGTGCTCAGTGACAGCCAGATACACAAGGCCGTGGCTGTGACCCAGTGACAGGAGACACCAGGACAGGAGAGTCCAGAGGCAGGATGTGGCCTTTGGGTACAGGGCTGGGAAGGCTGGCTTCTCCTCGGAGTGAGGAGCAGGTCCTAGAAGCCGGCACTGGAGGCCGGGCGCGGTCGCGCACCTGTGCTGCCAGCGGCTCGGAGGCTGAGCAGGAGGCTGAGCGTCCCCGCAGCCCCAGCAGCTCAGGGAGGCCTTGGGCCCCTCAGTGAGAGCCCGACTCCACACCAAGAGTCTGGGGTGCAGCCCAGTGGCTAAGGGCTCCTGGATTCGACACCCAGGACAAAAAGTAAGAGACCTGGTCACTGAGGAGGGCTGTCCCTGGGCGCTGGGACGCAGCCCTGCTCACCTGGGCGAGCGCACACGCAGGGCTGCGTCACAGCAGGACCGTGCTTGGCTTCAGCCCACGTGGCGACCTCGGGGCCCGTGCTGACAGCCGTGGGGTCAGACGGAGCCAGGCTGCTGGAGACTGAGTGGACTCTGAAGGCCAAGCTAGGGCACCTAGGACACCAGGAGAGGACTGACGACCTCACTGGCCCTACTACTCTGGGCAGCAGCTCCAGGCCCTCCCCCATGCCAGGGTGGCCAGGCCCACTGCCCAGACACAGGAAGGGCCTCCTCCGGACCCCTGGGCTCAGGGCATGTCAAGTCCGCGGGACATGGTGTGGGTGACAGAGCACGCCTGCCAGCCGAGGCTCTGGCCACCCTCTCCCTGCCTCTGCCCAGAGGCCATCTGGGGCCACCCTCAGCTCCTTCCCAGGAGCTAACTTGCAGAATGAGCTCTGGGTTGACAAAAGTGCCACTCCGGCCTCAACCGGGCACATGCACATGCACAACCCTGCCCTCTGCCCCCAACCCCACCTCCCAGCCCAGGGGTGGTGTGACAGGACACCCAGAGAAGGGTGCTAGGTTAGGTCCCCAACGTCCCCAAAGGCCCATGTGTTAAAGGCCTGGCCCCAGGGTGGAGCTACTGGGAGCGGGTGGAACCTTAAAGGGTGGCCTAGTAGGAGGTCTGAGGTCACTAGGGACCCATCCTGTCCTCAGGTTGGAGTGACGGCACAGGTGTGCTGCCCAACCCCAGGAGCCAGACCACCCAGCACGTGCGGGACCCTCAGAAGGTGACCATGTCTTTAGAAGGCCCTCTCCTCAGGCCTTGTTACATGGTGGAGCCGGCACACGGCATCAGCGCACATCACCTCTGTGCCCACACTGCCCACTGGACCGCCCCAGTCCTGCGCTCCCTCACCACTCCCAGGACATGTGGGCCACCAGTTACCAGCAAAGACAAGCTCAGCGCTGGGCACACCAGCAACTCGGACGTGCGTGTGTTTAGACTTCTGATAACTTTATTCATCATGGGTTTTCAAATTTTGCTTATTTTAAAAAACATTCCATCAAAACGTTATCTACCTCACCCAAAGAGCGAGGGCAGCCTACAAACCCTGACCATCCTGTTTAAGGCTGTCCAGGGCACCCAAGTCGAGTCTGGGAAACACTCAGAAGAACCCAAGGAGATGTGATGCCCAGGGGCATGTCAGGTCCTAGACAGCGCCCTGGGGCAGAAACGGGCAAGGGGAGGGCATCAGAGGTCTGCACAAGCCACGCTGCCTTGATGAGGCCATCTCCGCCCCACCTGCTTGGACAGCCTCAGGAGACCTGCACCTCTCCATGTGCCCAGGGAGCCCCATGGGCACAGAGCTCTGCCTGCTGTCCACTCCGCATCGCTTGTAGTGGCTCCACCCTCAGCCACAGCTGAGTGGAGGAGATGGAGGCCATCTGGTTGGCCCGACCTGCAGAGCCAGGAGGGTGGGAACAGGTGCGCTCCTGGCAGGGCCACCCGCCCCCTGCCCTGGACACCAGGACACCGGTCATTTGTCTTGTCTTTCACAGGATCCTGCCAAGATTGAGGAATCCCAGCAACTGTGGGTGCATGCACTGGCCCGAAGGTGGGGTCCAGACAACCCAGCGGGCTTTCTTTCCCTGGGCAGCATGGACACAGGGTGGCGCCCCTCAGCTGGAGAGTCACTGGAGACCAGCCCCAGTCCCCCAGCAGAACACCGGGCAGACCAGGTGGGGGAGAAAGCCCAGGCCAAGTTCCTCCCAGCTCCTGCAGGACCTGCCCCCACATCTGGGAACCCCACACCTGCACAGGCACGGGTTCCCCTACCCCCCCAGCACCCTGAGACCCTTCTCCAACAAACTCTGATCTGGAGCCTGCAGGGCCAGGCGCATGTGGCCACCCGTAGTGGTACTGGCCACTCCACCAAAACAACACCAACCAAGGCTGCTGGCAGCCCGGGGCAAGTCCAGAATCCACACTGAGCCCAGCACTGGTTTCTGTAAGGACAGCGGAAGGCGTGCACAAGGCGTGGGGGCAGGAGGGCTCAGGCACCTCACAGCCCTGCCTGCCAGCTCCTACAGCTCTGCAGGCACCCTCAGGGGACGTCTAATCCCATCTCCTCCAGGTCTCAGTCTGACACTGTGGAAGGCAGTCCTGGTCTGAGCAGCATGGCCCCCCGCTGTGACAACCTCTGGTCCCCAGAGTCTGCCAAGCTTGCCCTGGAGGCAGCCTCCACCAGGTGCCAGGAGCTGCAGAGGCGAAGCGAGCACCCTGCATGGCACCCCAGTACTCCTTAGTGGGTCCACTTCCTCTGGACCCCACAGGACCACCCCCAGCATCCCTGCAGGGGCACTACCAGCTACAGTGTGACAGGGGCACTATCAGCCCCAAGCTCTCCCCAACACTGCAGCTGGTGCTAAGGGCGAGGCAGTGCGTCACACCCCCTCCCCCTGCACAGCGCCTCTTGCTCCCCTTTACAGGACTGAGAAAGGAACACCAAAGCCACACCTGGACACTGATGGCTGGATCAGGTTCCCTGGGGTAGACCTCCAGTGGGGGCCAGCGCAGCACTTCCTGCATGCTTGCCAGACCCAAAGGTTCGTGGGACAACAGAGGTCCAAAGACAAGAGACAGCTGCAACCCTGAATTCCAAGCCACTCTGCCAGGCAGGAACCAGGCTCCTGTCCTGAGGATAGCATGTGCTGCCCAGGCGGTGGCCCTGCCAAGTTGGGACAACTCTGCCCCCACTGGACAGATGGCAAAACCAAGGCTCAAAGAGGCTGGTGCCTGTCCAAGGTCATGCAGATTAAAAAGCAAGTGCCGGACATGTAATCCCAAGCAACTGGGCAGGCTGAGGCAGAAGGACTGCCTGTCTGAGCAACTTAGGGAGATGCTGTCTCCAAAAGAGCTGGGGGCTGGGGCTCACTCGCCTGGCATGTCTACGGCACTGGATTCCAACCTCAGCACCACATAATAAAGGCATTTGTGTCCATCTACAACTAAAGAAAATTAGGAAAAAAAAAAGGGAGCGAGCGAGCTAGGGATGCAGCTCAGCAGTCTGTGGGCAGCACCTGACCAACACCTGACCAAGGCCCTGGGTTCCATCCCCAGCACAGGACGGGAAACAAAAGGGAACCTGGATGAGCAGCCCGAGGGTGGCACCACCACCCTTCCAGCTCCCTCCCCTCCACCAAGCAGCTTTTTGTGTTTCAGCATCCCTGCCCCCAGCTCCATCCAGCAGCAACAGGGATACATGCCTCTGGGCACTGTCCTGTTTTATTACTTCATTTTGTAAAACATCTATTCTGTTGTGGCCCCACTAACCACCACCCCAGGGGAGGTAGCTCCCAGAAACCCACCTTGCCCTACCCAGCTTCCCCAGAAGCCCCCCACTTCACCCCCTCTGCAGAGGGAAAGGCAGGGCCCCTGGTAAATCTAGGTTTCAGTGGCAGCTCTCAGGATGAGACCCTGGGACTCAGGGACCCAAACCTCAGAACAGAAACCAAGTAGTGGGTGCTGCTCCTGCCCTCTGTGTTGACTTGCCCTTGCACTGCGAATGGTGGGTGGCAGGGGGAAAAGAGCTTCCAGGGGAAGGCAGGGGACAGCATCCCCTCCCCAGGATAGACCCCACCCAGGACCCTGGAGAGAGAGCCCTCACCACCCCCAGGGCAGAACTGCCAGAGCCCAAAGCCTCCTTCTGGGTTGGATGGACACCCAGGGCCTACCCCTCCTTCCCAAGCCCCAGGTGGTGCCTACGAGGCCAGTGCTGTCCTCCAGGCCAAGCTCCGGGCCACCCAGGTTCCCCATGGGACCCGGGGAGTCCCCATCAGAGCCCATTCCTCAGATCCCCACCCCTCTGCAGGCCCACCCACTCCAGCCTCCCAGCTCCCACCCCAGGGTCCCTCCAAAGTCCCTGAGCTCCGGGGCCACTGTGGAGCCCCCCTCCAGGTCCCAGAGGCCGGCCGCCCCGTTTCCCCAGGAGAGTGCAGCGCCCAGATTCCTCCTGCACACCTGGGTCTACCGGGCCACCGAGGTGGCGCTAGGGCGCCAGGCCGCCCAAGCCCCCAGGACCCCTTCCTGGAGGGCGGCCCGGGCTGCACCCCTGCCCCGCGGCACCTGTTGCTGGGAGTCCCCCGACGGCCTCCTCCCCGGTGCGCGGTCTCCTCTCTGCCCCTGTCCCTCAGGGAGCCCTCAAAACGCCCCTCTCACCAGGGGGACCCCCGGCCACCGCGGGCGGCAGTCGCTCCTGGCCAGCCGGTCCCCCGAGACCCCGCGGCCCGCCGGCCGGTGCCCGCCCCTCGAGCTCCCGCAGGTCCCGGAACAGGCCCGGCCAGCACCGCCGCGCGGCCCCCCGCCCCGGGAGCCGCGTACCTCGCGCGTGGTCACCTCCTCCTTCTCGGAGATCTTGAGCAGCAGCCGGTCGTTCTCCAGCTCGAGCGCGCGGACGCGGTCGATGTAGTGCGCCAGGCGGTCGTTGAGCTCCCGCAGCTCCTCCTTCTCCTGCAGCCGCGACAGGCGCGTGGGCGACAGCGGCGTGGCGGGCCCGCCCGCGCGGCCGGGCAGCGGCGAGGCCATGGCGGCGGCGGCGGCGGCTCGCGGCCTGCGCGGCTCCCGACGGCGGCCCAGGCTCGGCGCGCTCATTCAATCCGCGCCGCGCAAGATGGCGCCCCCGCCGCCGCCGCCCGCGGCCCGCCGCCGCGCGGGGCACGCCGGGAGTTGTGGTCCGACCGCCCCGCGCGGGGCACGCCGGGAGTTGAAGTCTCCGGGCGCCGGGAACCCAGGGCCACGCGTGGAGTCTCCCGCCTGCTCCCTCCGGGGTTTTCGCTGGAAAGACCGCTCGAGGCCTTCCTTAAAGAGCCACTGCCCGCAAAACGGGTGGACTGGAGCAGTTCATGGAGGTGCGCGAGGAAGGCCGAGAAAGACTGCATGTTCTCACGTGCGGAAGCTAAAATAGCTGGGCCAGTGGCGGAGCGCTCCTGGCCGGTGCCGAGGCCCAGCCGGTACTGGGGAGAGGGGTCACGGAAGGCCAGGGGCGGGGTGGCGGAGGGGCAGAGGGAGGGTGAATGGCAAGCACGAAAACAGGGGCAGTTGCACCGTTTATATGGTGCATTCTATGGAGGACTTGGAGAGAGGGGCTCAGGAGGTCAGGCAGCGGCGCACCCGGCACCCGGGGAGGCAGGAGGGGGCCTTCCGGGCCGGCTGGGCAGCTCGGCCAGACTCTGTCTCCGAATAAAAAGGGCTGGGGGTGTGGCAGGGTGGTGGAGAGCCTGGGGTTCCATCCCGGGTACCAGGGGGAAAGATGAAACGCTCTGCATCCCGACTTGATCGGATGTGGGGTGTGCATGCATCCAACTACCACGTCGCAGCCCGCCAATGTGTACAGTTCTTATGTGGCGACTCAAAGGAACAAGGGAGCCACATCCAGCCACCAAACCCACCTCAGCAACTGTGGGACATTGGGCTGCTGACTCGTGCCGGGTTCCCCACCCGTCTAGCCTTACTACCTCACTGGACTCCTGAAAATTGAGGTGGTGAAAGAACGCCACAGACATGCTCAGGGGAAGAGGCCGGCCGTGAAAAGCCACAGGTCACAGAGTGCCATAGATAGAAGGGCCCAGCAAGGAGGGCAAAGAGCAGGACATCACAGAATCGAGTGGTCTGATGTCATTGGCTTCTGCCAGCAGCCATCTGAATAGAGAGGGGCCTGTGAGTAGAGTCCAGGGCCTCTGTCTGCAGAAAGGAGGCCCTGGTGGGTGCAGAATGACTCCCTTGCGGGATCCGAGCAGGGGCTTCCTCAGCCTGTTCAGGTAGACTGGGCCCCTGTGGGTGGGTTGCTTTGAAGCTCCTGGTTTGGGGGAAACTGGCTGATTGGACGTGCAGTTTGGTGGTGTGGCCGGATCTCAGGGACCCAAGGCAGGAGCTTAGTGCACAGCCGTGGCCTCTGCAGATGCGACTTGGGAGGTCAGTCTCCACAGTGGGCTTTCTCCAGCTGTGCGCTGCTGGCAGGGGATGGGTGAAGGGGACCTGCCCACAGTGGGGTGTGAGCGGGCTCCACCTGTTCGATGGCAGAGCCACCTCCCTCCTGCCATGACAAGCAAAATGTCTGTCACAGTGCAGCTGTCCCTGGTGTGGTGTGTCAGAGCGAGGCCAGGGACCCTGCAGATGACACATTGGGAACCGGACCCCGCCCACCCAGCCCTCCGGGGACACTGGTAGGCTGCGCTTGGTGCCCCTGTCCAATGGTCTGAGTGACCCCTCGTCCCCTCCCCACAGGGCCAGGCCTTGGAAGCCGGCTGCGCCCAGGCGGACTCCAAGTCCCAGGAGGCACCACCGAGGGCTGCGGCCTTGGTGTTGGGCAGGTGGTGCAGCTCCAGCACCGGCCAGGGCAGCACAGCCGTCCCCAAGGCGGGTGCCCACACTGGCAGGTGCGGGCCCTGGGAGTGCCTCTGCTCCACGCAGGGCTGAGTTTTGGCGCCAGATTTTCAAAATCCCAGGCCAACGGCTGCTGCTGGTTCCCGGCCCGGATCGCCTTCCAGGATCTGAATTCCGGAGCTCAGAGCTCTGGGAGGCCTGAATTCCGGCATCTGGATCTTGGAGGAGTGGATCCTGGATCTGGTGTAGACCCAGGCTTTCACGTGGAAGTCCTAGGTCTTGGGGTTCCAGAATCTGGAGTCTGGGTCTTGGGGACCCTGATTTTGGAGCCTGGAACTGTGGAAAGCCGTTCTTGCATGTGATTTGAGTTACCTCCCTGGCTGGGTGAGAGGCGCTTAGACACACTGTGTCAGAGCCTTCCCCACCCTGCCCCAGGTGCGAGGGCTTGTCCAGGTGGGAGTGTGCCTGACCACTGACCTGAAGACCAGTCACTGACCCTGACCTTGAAATGCTGCCCCCCTCGACCCTCATTGGATGGAATTTTCCCCTGAATTTTTTGTTCCCCATTAAAAGCTCACTCCCTGGCAAGTTCCCCCCCTCTCGCTGGCCTCTTGTGTAAACCTCGCTACCGCATCAGGTGGCTGGAGGCAGGAGTGGGAGGAGCCGTCTCTGAGCTGGGCAAATAAGGTAAGAGAGTCATGTCTCTTGAATTTGAACTCACTAGTTTATTTCTGTGTTTTGAACCTCTATTATGAAGCTAGCGTGCTGGTCGCATGGCTGATGGAACCTGAATTCTAGGGGTCTGCATTTGGGGGGTCCAGATTCTGGAGCCTAAGTGTCAGAATGCAGGAACCTGGGTTTGGACCTATAATCCCAGGTGCAATCGGAGGTGGCTGATGCTGGGCTGGTGAGCCTGGAGGGAAGTGCCCCCTGTGTGGGGTCAGAGAGGCGGAAGAGCGTGACACACATGATCAGTAGCCAAGCGTGTGGCAAGCCGGAGGTGGTTCGCGTGAGGAAGAAAGGCAGCGACCACCTTGGGAGTGTGCGACGGGAGCAGGACTTTGAGCAGAAGAGGGGAGAGCCCTAAACAGCGAGGACAGCCACGGGGAGGACATTAAAGAGGAAACACGCGTGCTGCCGCATCCGTGTATCCATCAGCTGGTGCTGCATAACAAGCAGCCCCCAATACACACGCACACACGCGGTGGTCCTGGTCAACAGGGTCAACAGGAAGGGGTGAGTTCAGTGCAATAAAATTTTGAGAGGAGAAAACCCATTTCTACTTAGAGTAAACTGTCCTGTTTATCACTGTTGCTGGTCTCTGTGCCTCATTCACACGCTCCCCTGTATCGTAGCGTGTGTGTAGGAAAATGAGAGCGTGGGTAGGGCGGGTCCCAGCTGAGGCTCAGGCCCTGGGTAAGGGGGCCGACCCGAGTGGTCAAGGCAGCGCACTCTTATGTCACCGGCACACGGGTCAGCAGGAGGAGCAGCTTCGCTGGGCCTGGTGGCTCAGGGCTGCCCCCACTGTCCACACCGCCATGGGACGTGGCTCCTGGCCGGGCGCTGGGCTGAGAGCCGCAGCCCTCGGGGGCCTCGCCACCTGAGGAAAGGGTCTGGGGAAGCCCTCGCCGTTTGTCATCACAGGGAGACCAACCAAAACCACCCAGAGTTCCCCGTGAGACCAGGCCACCAGCGGGGCCGCGGGCAGCCCCAGAGACTGGACGGCAGGAGGATCGTGGCTCCGTGAGACCCCGTCTCAAAACAAAAAAATAGAAAGTGCTGGGACGTGGCTCAGGGTCGGCCCGCCTGGGCTCTGTCCCTGCTAGGGACAGAGATAAAAACAGGCCACGGCAGGGGGCAGCGTGTGGAGTCAGGTCCTCCAGGACACGGCGGGGAGAGGGCGTGTGCACAGGAGTGTCACGTGTGTCTGAGTGCATTCACATGTGTGCGTGTGTGGAGGTGCATGTGGGGGGCACGCATGTAAATGCGCGTGTGTGAGGACTGGGTGTGAACACGGGGACTCATGCGTGCTAGATAACAGCCACCGCTGAGCTCCACCGCCAGCCCTTTTTGGGTGCAGTTGCCCAGGCTGGCCCTGAACTTGACCCTCCTGCCTCAGCCTCCAGAATTGCTGGGGTGACAGGTGTGGCCACTACACCTGGCTCCCCTTTCTCTTTTTATAAAGCCACCAGGATCCGATGGGGGCTCCACACCAATCACCTCAGTGACCTTGTCCAACCCTAATCACCCCGGGGCCACCTCTGAACACTGTGGTCAGGTTGAAGCGCCTCCCTCCTGATACCTCAGCAGACTGGACTCCCGCTGTGTTTCAGAGGATGAACCCGGCTCAGACCCACGGAGTCTGAGGGCAGGGCAGAGCGGATGTCCCCTCTCCAGTGCCAGGGGCAGGAGGGCTCTCTGGCTCCAGGAGAACCAGCCCTTCCTTCCATTCTGGCCTTTACCTGGTTGGACCAGGCCCACCACTCAAGGGAGGCCCTCCCCAGTTACCGCGTCACCTGAACCCCTCGCAGACACATCTGGAACAACGTTGGGCCCAGCTTCTGGGCACCCATGGCCCAGCTGTGTCAACACACAAAAGGCACCTCCACCGACTCAGGGAGGCTCGCTGGACCCTGCTGGCCACAGGAGCTGTCCTTCCTGCTTCATCGTCTCCGAGGGATTTTACAAGTGTGGACTTTGCAAAATACCAAAGACCATACAGGAGGTTCCCGCCCAGCCTCCCCAAGGCTGGCCTTTGTCCCCAGCTGCTGGGAGGTGACCTCTAGGCCCCAGGAATGTCCCTCCTGATGGGTATGTCTCTGTTTGCCTGGAGTCTGTGGCCTGGGACAGTCCCATCTGACAACAGGAGGAACGAGGGTTTGGGCCAGGCTCTCTGGGGACCAGCCTCCAGGCAAGAGCTCAGCCAGGCAGGCCGTGTGGAGGCCAGGCAGGCCGTGTGGAGGCCGGGCCGGGCTTCCCTGCTTGGGAGGACTCCTGGGACAGTGACCAGACGCTCCCCCGTGGGACCCCCCCCAGACTTGGCTTGGTGCCTGGCCTTCCTTGGTCAATTGGAATTTGTATCCTGTAGCCACAATAAAATCGTGAACTTAGATGGACCATTTTTCTGGGTGCTGAGAGGACCTGAGGAGTGGTCGTGGGGTCTGTGAACTTGGTCAGCTGCGCTGAATGGAGGGTCCAGGGAAGCCCTGAACCCT